CCCAGGGCCAATCTTCCTCAGCAAAAAGAGGAGGATTGGCATGGATGTTAGCTCAGGGCTGATCTTCCTTACCAAACAAAAAAAAAAAATAGAGGAAGATAGGCACAGATGTTAGCTCAGGGCTGATCTTGCTTACCAAAAAAAAAAAAAAAAAAGAAAGTAAAGGGATAGAAAAAGATATTCCATGCAAACAGTAAAGAAAAGAGAGCTGGATTGCCATATTAATATCAGATAAAATAGATGTTAAGACCAAAATTGTTACTTGAGACAAAAAACATTATATAATGATAAAAGTTCTAATCTATCATGAAGATATAACAGTTATAAACATATATGCACCTAACAACAAAGCCCCAAAATACATGAAGCAAAATGTGATAAAATTGAAAGGATAAATAAACAATTCAACAGTAACTATGGTTTACTATAGAGCAATGGAGTCAAAGGCTCAGGGAGATTGGAATGTTAGAGTGGATTTGTCATTTAAGACTCACCCTCAGAGGGTCTAGAGGATACACCTTTCACCATGATTGTGAGAAATAAATTTGTGAGGGTAGCCCCAGCATCCTTGAAGAGCTCTGTGATCATTCTTCTTTGTAGGCCAGAATTTATAGTGCTACCTGCTGCCACTTATTTGGGAAACCTAAGTGCAAGAGAGTAATTGGATCCCAGAGTGTCAGGGGCCAAGCGGTGGCACTCAACTACCAAAGGCAAGGTGGGTGTGGTCACCATAATGGACATTAGAGTTGAAGCAGCAATCAGAAAAGTCTGACTCACAGAGACTTTCTGCATTGACTAGTTGATCATGGTGTTCCTAGAAGTGAAATAGATGGGAAGCCTACTAAATTCTTACTTGCTCTATACCAGCTGAAAAGTTCTAGGTCAAGTGAACAGAAGTATAACTTGAATCATAAAAACAGAGAGTCACAGCCCCCTCAATCAATTCTCAAAGTTGAGGCAGTTCACAGACCCAGAACCCTTTGAATGAAGGGGAGGCTGGGTCCCCTCAAGGAAGGACCCTGGTGCACTACTGGAATTTTATGCTGTAAATCTTTCTCCCAGCCTTTCCCTGTGGGACCTACAGCCCTTTACCAGGGTGACTATGCATTGGGGAAAGGGAAATAATCAGACCTTTCAGGGACTAATGGACACTGGCTCTGAACTGACACTAATTCCAGGAGACCCAAAATGTCTCTGTGGTCCACCAGTCAGAGTAGGGCCTTATGGAAGTCAGATGACACTGGAGTTTTAGCTCAGATGCATCTCATGCTGGGTCCAGTGGGTCCCTGACCCCCCCATCCTGTGGTTATTTCCCAAGTTCTGGAAGGAATAATTGGAATAGATACACCTAGCAGTTGGCAGAATCCTCACATTGGTTCCCTGACTTGTGGAGTGAGGGCTATTATGGTGGGAAAGGCCAAGTGAAAGCCACTAGAGCTTCCTCTACCTAAGAAAACGGTAAACCAAAAGCGATGCTGCGTTCTCAGGGTTCCACAAGTGAGTGCTGCCATCAATGACTTGAAAGATGCAGGGGTGGCGATTCCTACCACATCCTCATTCAGCTCCCCTGTTTGGCCTGTGCAGAGGACAGATGGGTCGTGGAGAATGAGAGTAGATTATCATAAGCTTAGCCAGGTGGTGAGTCCAGTTGCAGCAGCTATACCAGACATGGTTTCATTGCCCAGCAAATGAACCCACCCCCTGGTACCTGCCATGCAGCTACTGAGCTGCAAATGCCTTTTTCTCCACCCCTGTCCATAAGGCCCACCAGAAGCAGTTTGCTTTCAGCTGGCAAGGCCAGCGACACGTGTTCACTGTCCTACCCCAGGGGCATATCAACTCTCCAGCCTATGTCATAATTTAGTCCACAGGGACCTTGATCACCTTCCCCTTCACAAGATAATCACGTTGGTCCATGATATTGATGACATTATGCTGATTGGACCTAGTGAGCAAGAAGTAGCAACCAGGGGCCGGCCCGGTGGCGCACGCGGTTGGGTGCGCGCGCTCCGCTGCGGCGACCCGGGATCCGCAGGTTCGGATCCCAGGTGCACACCGACACACTGCTTGGCAAGCCATGCTGTGGCGGCGTCCCATGTAAAGTAGAGGAAGATGGGCACAGGTGTTAGCCCAGGGTCAGTCTTCCTCAGCAAAAAAAGGAGGAGGATTGGCAGATGTTAGCACAGGGCTGATCTCCTCACAAAAAAAAAAAAAAGAAGAAGTAGCAATCACTTGAGAGTTATTGGTGACACGTTTGCTTGTCAAAGGTTGGAAAATAAATCTGGCTAAAATTCAGAGGCCTTCTACTTCAGGGAAATTTCTAGGGGTCTAGT